TTTACTTTTGAACAATTAAGTTACAGCACCATTCCAAGATAGTATTGATGTTCTAATAGGAATGTTAGGTAACCTTCCTACTAGAGTAATGATACAATGAGCATGTACCCAATATCCATCCAAAGATAACTTCATTAATCCTCCTATAAGTATCATGCTACTACTTAATAATGATCATCATCATGATAATATTACCCGGTCTTGGGCATAAACAACAAGAAGGATGATAATTCCTGTTAGACGGCGATGATGAACTAGGTGATGATATGTTCGTATGGCGAGCACGATGTCGTCGTCGTCGTCGTACTTTGATGATGCCATCAACACCCGATGGAAGAGTGTTGTTACTACGAACCTTAACATGAGCGTAATACCAGAATGGATCTACTACTAGGTAGTGATGAGCATATTACATATTCACACGTATGACAATACCACAACTTTCCCTCATCATGCTCTAGTATTATTATATCATAGCATAGTTTATGAGCACCATAACCGCATCTAGTATGAATATGTTATAATGGAAGTATATTGATTATTATTGATACCTCGCACAGTATATAATGGGGTTATCCATAACTTCATCATCATTATCTCTACATACATCACATACTTTTCTTACTACTACTTCGAGCTGCATTCCATTGATATGCGATGATGAACTCTTCCGCGCCTTCTTATTCTTATTCTTCTTGTTGTTGTTCATATTACCATTTCGTTTACTTTGAGATGGCTTTCCCTTGTACCACGCCAGTTTGAGTAGATCATCCTTCAGAGTACCACCACCACCACCATCTTCATCTTCTTCTTCTTGTTGTTGTCCTGGTCGACGTACTAAGTCCACAGTAAAATCTTGATACCATTGTAGATTATCATATTCATATGAACAATATACGTATTCATCACCTATAAGCATAGACAATATTAGAGTAGTATTATTAGTATCATAACCACCCAGTTCTATAACTATCCCCTCTTTCCATTGCTGTTCTAAGAATACTTCTACTTTACTACCAATACGTCTATCAACAACAACAATAATAATCATTAATACATCAAAAGGTGATGATATTAGTTATTATTATTACATCCATCTTGGCCATTTACCTGCTTTCAATATACTCTTTAATGCTGTTATATCACATTTCTCCTTCTCATGCATCGTTATGTCACTATCTATATGGTATTATATATGTAACAATAATATCCATTATCATAAGTAATAGTACTTAATATCTCCATTGCTGTTGTATTAGTTATAGAGTTGTCTTTAATACTCTTAGGTGCTGATGGTGGTATCTCATCCTTACCAAATATTCTACAAATATTATGAGTAATGACAACAACTCTTACCATGACCATGTACTACTGTTACTAGTCTATTACACATATAGTATTACCTCAATCGTTTAGATGCAGCTGATATCCATTGATCTGTTGATTCCTTCCAATATAGTATATGTATCTTAATACATCCTAATGTCCTATCTACATCCCGCACCTAATAAGTACACTACTAGTATAATAATAGTTATTCATGATAATCATGAATAGTAGTATTATTACAATAGCATGCCTCATATATTGTGTAGCATCAGCTATACATAATACAGTATCCCCTATATCAACATCTCTAACTAATGATAATGCTCTATCCTTCAATGAGAACGTTGCTAGATGAAATAAAGGATACATCATCATAGATGCATATATATACCTACTCATAACAACAACAACAGAGATCCATAGTATATGATGGAGGAGAGGCATTACTTATATAAATGTCTTTGAAAAAGAGCCCTGCCTGGTACTGGTGATAAGAATCCCATCTTCGTAAAGAAGTCCACTGCAGTACCATCAGCATAACTACATCATGATGATGATTAGTCGGGTATTTCTCGGTCTATCAAGATCTTACGTCAATACATGCATTAGACCCTTTTGAGCCCAATGATGACAACAATCCTTCAATATTCTACTGCCATAACCTTTATTACGTTCAAATGATACCAATGCAGCTATCTCAACTGATTCCTAATAATAATAATACCACTACTAGGACAATAAGCATATTACAATATAGGTAGGTAAGATTCTAAAAGCAATTGCTGCTCTTATATAACCATTCTCCTCTAGACATCTCGATATATATCTATAACACTTAGAATGATGACGATAATAATAATGTTCATGATGATGATGTTGTTGTTGTTGGATGACTTATCAGGATGACCAAATAGAGCATCGACATGATCCTGTGTATAGTTAGGAAAGTTAATCATTACTGATTCCTTTACCTATAATCAACACCAATAGTATTATTATTAAGGTATTATCATTACTTTATCACGTATTGATACATCATAAGCATAGAGACTCCTTATACCATCACCTCGTACTGCAACACCACCACCACCATCATCAGTACTACTGTCTGCATCATCACCGACTCGTTGTTGTTGTAATAAGTCCAACACTTTAACAGGTACTTGAGGTACTTGTGATGTGACGTAAGAACCCTCCATAGTAGTATCTGATACATCTATGTATGTTATTATATTACCAGTTATTGTTGTTGTTGCTGATGCTGCTGATGGCCGTCGTCGGTGTATAAGCTCTCTATTGCTCTATCCTTACCCTGTCCTCCTCCTCGTGGTCTCATTCTACTACTACTACTATCATCAGCACTACCATTGTATGAGGTCATCAGCAATACCCTATCAATATCAATGATAATATTAACACAATACACATTAGAATGAATGGTAATACTAGGTATCAATACAGTGCAAGATAGTAATAAAGGATAAGTAGTAGTAATATGATTATCGTTATTATTATTATTATCATCCAACAGTACCACGTAATCTCTCCTTCAACATAGCGCTTGCTTCCTCTGCGAATTCTAATGGTAATTCCGTAAATACATCTTCACAAAAACCAACCAATAAGAGTGATAATACATCTGACTCTTGTAGACCTATAACATGAACAACAATAATGAAATATGAATACTATTATTATTACTACCTCTCGACATCAGATATTGTAATTGATCAGCACTAACCCTACTAGTAGAGGCCTCATGCTCTATTACTTGCCCATCATGATGCCCATAATCAACATCATCAGCACCATCACTATCTACACCACTTGTTTGTAGTACTGGTAGAGTACTCGATATACCTAATAATGATATAAAGTTAGTTGATGTATGGTGTTGTTGTTATTATTACTATCATCTCCAATTAATAAGGCATCACATTTACTATAATTCTTACATCCTTGTGTATGATGACCAAACTTAACCATACCTCTATATGTATTACTAGATTTACCACTAGATATACTCTTACTAATTATCCTACTCTTAGTATTATCACCAATATGTATCATCTTAGTACCAGTATCAGCCTGTTGTGCATTATTTGTTAATGTTACTGAATAGAACTCTCCAATAGATCCTTCACCCAATAATACACAACTAGGATATTTCCAAGTAACAGCAGAACCAGTCTCAACTTGTGTCCAAGTTATCCTCGAATTCCTACCTCTACATTGACCTCTTTTAGTAACAAGATTAAGTACACCACCAGACCAAGTATCATCATCATCATCGACTTTACTACCAGCATGCCAATTCTGAGCTGTACTATATTTAATACTAGCATTATCTAATGCCACAAGCTCGACCACAGCAGCATGCATCTGATAAGGTTCCCTTCTTCTTCTCATATTATGATAGTAATCTAAAGCTGCTGGTGGTGGTGGTTCAGCAGCAGTACAACCTTCTACATATGATACTGATGAATTAGTATCAGCTATGATAAGTGTTCTTTCAAATTGACCAGATTGTGTATTATTAATTCTAAAGTATGTAGATAATTCTATAGGACACTTAACATTAGGAGGAATATAGATAAAAGTACCATCAGAGAATACACATGAGTTGAGAGCAGCATAATAATTATCATTAACTGGTACTACTGATCCAAGATATTTATGTACTAGATCAGGATAGTCTCGTGCTGCCTCAAGAAGGGAACAAAATATTATACCATACTTATCATAGAGTTCTTTACGTCTTGTAGTAGCAATAGATAAACTATCAAATACAGCATCAACAGCAGCTGCAGTAGCAGCGTGAGCAGGTGACCCTCCTCCTTCTTTTATACTATCATTATTATCATCATTAAGGTTCATGTTAAGTATATTCTCTACACCTGGACGTGCTGATGGTAGATGTTGAGGACGGGAGAACATTGACATATTCTGTAACATATCCCTTATATCATGTGGCATACGATTAGCAACATCACCCCACTCTGGTACATTATCATCCTGAGCCTTCCACCATTTGAATGCCTTCTCACGGAAATGTAACATCCAGTCCGGTTCCTTATTCACCTCACTAATCTTCCGAATGGTAGCAAGATCTAATCCTGGTGCCACCTGTATAGCATCTACTGCATGTCTGGCTGCGTACACATCCTTAGGTAATTCACAAGCAACATCAGTAGAGCTAGTAGTAGTAGGAGCAGTAGTAGCCGCCCTGCACCCAACAATCATACCACTCTTCCCCTTACTCTTAATCGACTCTAATAGCATAGTAGATAATATAGCAGCAGCCATCATAATACCACCTAACCAATAGTACAACACCGGGTTAGTAGTAGTAGTAATAACGGGATTAGTATAATGGATGATAGTATTACTAGGGTGATGATCATTATTAGTATGTATAGATGATGATACTTTTATCCTATCCATAGGTGCTAGGAACTTATTATCCAACAACATTGGATGAACTATAGCATGTTGTTGTTGTTGATGATGCTGATAACCTCTTAACATACTACCACTCTTACTACTATATGATGATATAAGGTTATATACAGAGTAGAAGCAGCAGCATAGTATAATGAGTAAGAATATACCAATATGTTTAATACCACCACCATGTTGTCTATAACGATGATGATGTTGTTGTTGTTGGACTAGTGATGATGACCATGTTCCTGTTGACGTCCTGGTTGATGGATTACTGATGCACGGCATAATGATCTCACCATCACAATCATAAACAATAACTGATAATAATAACAACAATCTCATAATACCACTACTACATACTACTACATATATACAACAAAAACACTACTAATGGTAATATGCACGACCATTATCATGATGATGATGATCATGATGGAGGATTAAAAATGCTACTATACTCAAGGAGACAGCATCAGCAGCAGCATCAGCATCAGCAGCAGTAGCATTGTATTAAAAAGGTTATGAAGCACTAGATGCTGGTACCTTGCACATATTGGATGATAACAACAACCTCTTGGAGATAATAATGTCATCGATACACCGATCAAATGATCATATAAGTATTGATAATGATCATTGCTACTACTACTATTAAGTACCTCAATATTACTAAAGCTGGTCTATGTACCTAAGGATGGGATCTTTACTACTAGATCTCCACTTCTTATTGTACTATTCTTACTGATATCAATAGTCACAGCCTTATGATCATATAGTATCCTAAAATATCATGGATTATGCCATGTTGTTGTTGCTGCTAAGAACAACGATGATAATTATCTTCAAGTGCTGAGAATATTATAGCAACTATAAACACAACAAAAGATAGGCCGCCGCCTCCTAAGATAACTACTCCATCATCATCATAATGAGTCTAGTAGGATATACCACCAAGACATGTACTATTAATAATAATCATACTATTATTACTACTACTATTTGTCGTTGTTGTTGTTATCATTCTTACGCCACTTAGCAAAGACATTATACCTATTATGATGAATGATAGTTATAGAGAAGTATTATTATTATTACTTATCGTTTTGTTTAAACCTAGAATGTAGATATAATAATGCATATCCAAAGAATGGATATACCATAAGTCTATACATATCCATATTAGCTTTATCTCTCATACCACCATACCATGCTGGATCAACACACCAACGCCATTGATTCTTTGTTGGATCTATATTCCATTCAGGTACACCATAAAAGGCTGCTTTCCAATAACACCATGATCTCATCTGCCATCTACCTACACGTCTCCATTGATATCTTTTAAAATAATTATAACTGATCATAATCATAGTATAATAATACTATTATTAGAGATGTTATTACTTGATCCTAAGCCATTGATATACAGGTCCACCAGGATAAGGCGACATAATAGTCCTAGTACCAGATGGATAACGGGTAACGGACAATGTAGTAGGGGATAGACGTAGCATTACAACAAGATAGACGAGCTACTAATAAGATGAGGATCTACAAACACTACTTCCATGTACTAGTAGTACTACTGAATAATACCAGTAATAAAGACAACATGATAACTTATCCATTGAGCAACATAAACATGATTATCCTCTCTCCTCATAGTATATAACCGAGCCTACAGCATTCCCATAAACAGGTTATCCTTTAATATGTATTCAATAGTAGCTTCCGTATGTATACAATATAGTTACCTGCTAGTGTACTACTTTCAGGCAACTCCAGATTCGATCGATGGTGGGGCTCAGAACAGCGGAGCGAAGCACTACATGTCTCGCATTTTATTGTTTCGTAGAATAGTTGTTTTGTGAGCGCCTATATGCTATCAGTTTAATTATTGTCGCCTATGGTCGCCCTAATGATATTACCTAGTTATTCAGTTATGGATATCATGAACTGGATCATAAACTGTATATTAACTAGGGTATATACGGTATTTCATATCATAGCTATATTAAGGGATATAGTCATGCATTATGAAACGGTTATACCATTATATATATCTAGATTAAGATCAATGATAGAGAATAAATGTAATAAGGGATGATCTCTGTGATAATAATGACATAGTCGTTGTTAGGTCCATTATATAATAATAATAAGAAGTTGAAGAAGGAGCCTAATCATGTATTATTATGTTTAGATAGAGCATTTACATTAGATCAGATAACTGATATAACTATTGGTATAATTGATATATCTAATTGTCATTATATTACCATATATGATTGTTATAATAATACTATTGATAATAAGGTATATGATGATATTAGACATTATCCTGTAGCTACTCATGGCCATTGTAAAATACAATATGTATTACCTGGTAATGATGATGGACGTGAACATCTAGTAATAGAAGCTAATCATAAGCTTGAAAGGGATTGTATTGATAGAGTGATGTCTATGTCTGAGAATCGTTTCCCTAATCCTCCTGATGTAACATTAATATTGAATAGGAGTAATTATCCATTTAGTTATTATAACTTAACAATACCTAAGAGGCTTGATCCAAGGTATATATACTATTCTGAGATAATACCACTATATTCTATTGATTATATGTCTGATGTTATTGCTAGTCTACATCAATATGATTATAAACAGCAAAGATTCGGTAGATAATCATCTTTCCAGCTACTATAGTTATTGGGTTCTTAGTCGTCGTGGGTTAAGTTACATCATCTTAGTATCATCTATTTATAGTATTATTATTATGAACCATAGTCTGATCAGTTAGTGTCTATCGTGCTCGCCACTGTAACGCGGTATCATCAATTTCCTACCTCGTATAGTAGGATCAAGACTATGGTAAGGATGATGAGGATGAGGACTATCATCATTAGTAGGATGTGGCCATGGTTATCTATAATAACAGTATAGCTGCCCAATATTAAGGTGTATTGAGAGCTCTAATAAATACTCTAGGTCAATAAGATCTCATAATATTGATATGCTAGAAGAGAGTATGATGATGATGATAACCAACAAAAGGGAGGATAGTCCAGGGTTAAGGCGGCGAGCGCTGATGATCGATTCGAGAGCAGACTCCGGTGCAGTAAGGCGACTAATGAACACAATCACTGCATCATATCAGGGTCATATCCACTCGAGTTACACTGATGCTAAGTGAATTATCACGTGTATTATTTACCAAGGCTTGGATCCCTCCTCCTCCTTCCTCAGCAGCCAGTGAGGATCTCCTCCAACACTCGGGGTTTTACATCATCACGAATGCTCAATGAGCAGACGGCATCCTCGTCTTCATGCAACACATTTCTTTACGATATTTGAACCCCAAAAATATGGGGAATCCTCATTTCTAAACAATGGGCCTCTTTTCCAAAGAAGTTTAGCGCACTCTCTAACCTGCATTTCGACTTAGCCTTGGATTGCAGCCTGGCCTTGGATAACAGTTCGGGTTTCTGGTTTCCCGTCGGGTTTCGGGTTTCGGGTTTCCCTTTCTCCGCTTTCACCTGCAGTTCTTGTTTTTTTTGTAGAATTTGCAGTTTAGCTTCTCACTTGCGTCATGGTCATCACCTGGATATCAACCTTTATTTTCCATTAATGGCGCGCGCCGATATTCTTTGGTTTTTATGCATCGCTTAGATTCGATGCAGCGCCCGAAAATATTCTTGCATGTTGAAAAACACCGAACCTGGTATTCGAACCAGCGTCTTCGTCGTTGAACCGGAATCCCCCTACCGCGCTAGGGCTAAGCACGGCCTAAAGCAGTCCATCATGAAGTATCTCTCGAGAAGGCTAAGTGATGATGGCGTTGTATTCTATAATGGTAGTCTTTGCGTGTGACTGAGGTTAGAGTAGGCTTTGATAATACATAAGTGTACACTTAGTGTTGTATTGTTGATATTATTACTTCTCAATGGCTATAGATAAGAAGATAGT